TGTAAAAACCAGTTACCATCACCAATAATTCCTTTAAAAAAATCAGTTTAAGAGAAAACATGGTGACACACAGAATTCCAGTTTGAAAACAGTTGTGAGCTGTTTTCAAATGTTTTTTAAGAAGTTTCTTGTAATGACACTTTCACTTGAATACCCGATTTTTTTTTGTAAAAACCAGTTACCATCATCAATAATGCCTTTAAAAAAATCAGTTTAAGAGAAAACACGGTGACACACACAGAATTCCAGTTTGAAAACAGTTGTGAGCTGTTTTCAAATGTTTTGTTTTTTTTTTTGGTACCAAGTACTTCATTCCCATCTATGTCAACAGATTTTAACTTCAAACTAAGGAAATTTGGGATAATAAGGACTGCTTACTGAGATAAGGTTGCTTGTAAAAAAAAATATATTGACAGTCAAGTTGTTGGTAGTTACCACTGGTGCAAGATGCAGCATTAATTTATTGTCTTTTAATAGTTAAAGGGCCTATTTCGTCAAGGGTTACAGTGTAAAGGTAAGGGAAAAAAATGCATCTTGTATTCGATGTTTGTGAATTTGAAAATTGTGCACTGACAATTAGCAATTTGAAGTCTATGTCTGACTCAGTTTTTTAAAATCACACCACAAGTCATTTAATGGCCAATCTTTTTTCTTTTGAATAATTGCAGATTGTAAATATAACTGCCACCGAAAGTGTGAGAAGTTTGTTGGCAAGACCTGCTTGGGTGAGGGAGGAATGTTAGAAACAGGTAAATTGGAAATACATGTAAGCGGCAGGTACAAAAAGCAGGTCACAGGTCACAGGTCACAATTAACTGGTCACAATTGTATATTATATGTTCATTTCTGACGACCGGAAATGGAACACTATAATGCAACGCCTTTACTCTATCCGGTGTATAACTCTTTAATTGTGACCTGTTAATATTGTGACCTGGGACCTGGGACCTGCTTTTTGTACCTGCCGTACATGTAAGCTATTCTGATCACAAGTTTTAGATAGAACCAAATTCAAACCTGTTGTTGTGAGAACCAGAGAGCATCTATAGCCAGTTAAGCTCTTTACGAATGGGCGGAATATGATCGTACTTACGCGCTCCGCTCACAATGCGGCAGGCAAAGTTTTGCACAGCCTGCAGTTTGTTAATATTATATTTCGACGTATTTGCCCATACATTAGAACAATAAGATAAGTTACTAAAAACTAAAGAGTTAATAATCAACAGGAGTGTACTTTTATCTAAAGCATGCTCAACGCGGTTTAGTTGGCCAAGGCGGGACATGCATGAAGACGCGGTCTTAATTATGTGTTCATCGCAAGTTAGATGGGAATCTAAAATTACGCCCAAGTCTTTAGCAGTTTCTGAGAGGAAAATGTCTCTTCCCATAAAGGGAAGGAAGTGAAATTGCAATTTTGCACGCATTTGCCTGTTGCCAAATATCATTAACTTGGTTTTTCCAGGGTTGAGTAACAAGTGGTTGTTGGAACACCATTCTCCTATTTTGAGCAGGTCATCTTTCAAAGCCGTAATTGCATCCAAGTTGTCTTTTAGCTAAAGGGAAGTAATAAGTTCCGTATCATCCACGCAACTCTGTGTGCAGCATGACTGCGGTATCGAGGCAAGATCGTTCGTGTATATGCTGAATAATAAAGCCCAAAATACTCCCTTGAGGTACACCGCTGATCACGGGCAAAGGCTCAGACAACGTTGAGTGGATTCGTACTACTTGTTCCCTGTTGCTTAAGTAGCTGCGGAACCATCGGAGAGCGTTACAGGAGATTCCAACGTCTTGCAATTTTAAAATTAAAATCTCGTGATTGACACTATCTAAGGCCTTACTCATGTCTAAGAACACAATAGCAGTTAGCCTTTTTTTATCGATAGCGTTAAGAATTGTATCAGTAGTTTCGTTGGCAGATGTTTTACACGAATGCCATTTCTTGTTACCGCTTTGGGTTTTTGATAGGGTGTTATTTGATTGCAGATGCGAAGTGAGTTGATCATGTACGGCTCTTTCGCAAACTTTAGGCAACACTGGAAAAAGTGAGATGGGCCGATTATTGTTAGCCTGTTCATGGTCGCCGTGTTTTGGAATCGGTATAACCTCGGCTGTTCCATTTTGATGGAAAAACATATGTTGGAATGGATGTGTTAGTAATAGCCGTAATTGTGTGAACGGTTGAATTTAGACAGTCTTTGATGACGCGAATCGGGATTTTGTCAATCCCTGGGGCCTTATTTGAAGGCATCGTCGTTATTGTACGCTCTATCTGTTTGAAATCAACGGCACTCATTGTGAACTGGTCAGAAAGGGGGTATTGTCTTGATGTAAAATAATTATGATTGAGTGTTAGGTTGCAGTCATTAGCCAAGGATGCAATTTTGTCAACAGTGCTCATACCAACAGATACGAAGAACTGGTTAAATTTATCTGCAGAAGTTTTGTCGTTTTTACTGAATATTCGCTGGGATGTAGATTTATTAGGGATGCAGATTTATTAGGGATGCAATAGCGAATTGCTTTCCAGATATTATTGGTGTCGTTTGGGTCCCTCTGAATCTGTTCGGCAAGAAATTCCCGCTCAGCAATCCTGATGTGGCATTTACCATTAGTTTTATAGCATAACATGCAGACATTGTAGCAAAAGAGTGTTCTTTTATTTAACAAATCTTATGTGACCAGAAAAAACAAGCACGCGTGGAAAACTAGTCTTTGCGTTTTCTCACATCAGCAGCGTACATCCATGGAAAATGGTAGACGCTGAATTGACCAATCAGAGTGCGCGCGTTACTTTGGTTATGATATAAATTTCCTTGTTAAATAGTTATGAGAATTTGGTGTTAGATCAAGATAAAACTTCGGCCTTAAAGGTTTGATTATTCTTATTTCCTGTTTGCTGGATAATGTATGGGTATTGTCTGGAGAAGTTACGTGTCAATCACTTCTTAGAGTTAAAGGGCTAATTTACTTCAATCATTATCCATCTAAAGAAATGACCAGAAATCTTTTGATGCTGCAGGGTCTCTTGGATCTTCTGACTCGGGTGCCATTTCTGAAAATTTGTCAGAAATGGACCTTTCAAATGACATTCCAAATGAACAAGAGTTTAGTGAGAACGAAACAGAGGTTGAGTCAGCAAGTCGCAGTAGTCAAGAAGACTTTGAACCAACTAGTCCCTCATCACCAGACAATGAGTTGCCCCAGCTGACTCCAACAATGAGCAACAATATTCCACTCCAGCGGATTGTTGTATCTGTGAAGCATACCAAGAGAAAAGGATCTAAAGTGTTGAAACAGGGATGGATGGTGCATTTTACCAGCAAGGATACATTGGTATGGCATATGCTTTGTTCTCTTTTAATGTGCTGTATCAAGCCTTTTCCAGTTATTAAGCTATATTTTTAGCATGAGGTTTAAAACTGTTCACTTCTCAGGAATCAATTTTAGCTCTGCTTTAGTACTTGCCACAGCAGGCCTCTACATGTGGCCCAGTAGTGAGGCACCTTTGTTCCAAATGATGTGCATTTGTGTTGCTTAACTGAATCAAAAATGTACGTTTGAGCTTGGGACAATGACTTACTCCTAGTTTTAAGCTCATCTTCAAACAGGGTGTTTTAAGAACTATAGTGTGTTCATTTAAATTTTGCGGACTGCTGTATATCAGTACGACTTTGTCTTATGAATTTCGTACATCAAATCCTTTTTTTATGGATTTTTCAAAAGAAAGTTATAATTTTAAATTTGTTTTTTTTTTAGAGGAAAAGACATTATTGGAGATTAGACACAAAGTGTTTGACACTATTCCAAGATTCAACAAGCAGCAGATATTACAAGGTTTGTTCATGGTCAAGTTGTAATGGGGTGTCCCGAAAACACTGACCCCCAGTCCATGGACCCCCTACGGACCTGGTCCACGGACCTCTGTACGGACTGGTCCACGGACCCTCTACGGATCCCCCTTTATGGACCCCCCATGAAAAGACAATCCTTTCATGGGTAGTCCGTAAAGGGGGGTCCGTGGAGGGTCCGTGGACCGGTCCGTACAGGAGTCCGTGGACCAGGTCCGTAGGGGTTCCCTGGACTGGGGGTCAGTGTTTTCGGGACACCCGTTGTAATGGGCGTGCGTCGTAATAAAATTTCTATCAATCTTTGATTGTTGTCCTTCAGTAACATTTTGGGTAAAACAGTAAAAACACTAATGTGGCCTTGAATTACTGTGAAATATTGTAGAATATTTTACAGTAATTCAAGGCCAAAAATATTGTAAAATATTGTAAAATATTTTACAATATTTTACAATATTTTACAGTATTCTACAGTAATTCAAGGCCACATAAGTGTTTTAATTGTTTTAATAAAATTTCTCTTGAGTGTTCAACTCGATATCTCATGAATGAGCGGAGCGAACGAGTGAGATATCGAGTTGAAAGCGAGAAGAGAGAGTCCGCTATCTACGAGCAACCATGTTTTATTTCATATATTCATTGATTAACCTGACAGAGTGGCGCGAAAGGCGAGCGACATATTAGCCGCTGACTGGCGAGATCAGACACATAACAACACGTTTGCAGTTCCAGCTTTTTTCGGGGCTGAAAATCCTTGTAATTGACCACATTTACTAAAATAAGTAGTTAATAAGTTCACGACATGTTAGCTTTTTAAAATTTTTTGTACCATCTCTCACAGGACATTCAACTGTCTGAAATACTGTCTGTTGATTCGAATATCGACCCTCTGGCGACAGATGCTACTCGAGCTCCACACTGCTTTGAAATGAAGACAAGAGACACGGTGTACTATGTGGGGCAAGTTGAAGAGGAGAACGAGACACCAGACCCCGACAGTGGTGTTGGGGCGGTGGCTGGACAGGCCTGGGCCAGTGTCACGCGCTCTGCTCTGATGCCAGGTTGCGTGACACCGACAACAAGTGTTTGCCCTGCAAGCAACAATGGTGAGTCCACGTCACTCCACTTCGTAGCTCAATTTTCAAACAAGTGTAGAAATTTGGCTGTAATTTACAAAAAAAAAAAAACAACAACAACAACAACATTAAGCAACGTGCAGAGATATGGCAGCTTTAACAATTTGACTCGCTTTGCAAAGTAAATTGTAACTTGATTTCTAAATGTTACTTTGAGAAGGGCACAGTGGTAACAACTGATAACCAAGAATTGCTAAGGATGGACAAGAATGAAATGGACTTCAAATGAAAAACTTTAATTTATGCGCAATTTTTTTTAAGAAGTACTAAGTGTAGCATGGCTCCCTAACTTGAGGACGGGTCGCTTGAAACCTTGAAAGGTGATTTTTTTCCCATTGGATGTCGTTATTCATTCACAAGATATAGCAATTTTCAATTGAATTTCGAAAGTTATCTTGCATGTGAGAGCTTTATCTTCAATACAATTTGATTTTGTCAAGGAAATTCGCGCCTCCATCTTGACGACTCGACCAGTCAGATACAAAATCAAAACCAATCGCGACTTGCTCACATGCATTTTCCCGCGCTTTAGACTGTTTACCTGTTTTTACATGAGTCCTCATTGGTCCTTGTGTTATTGTCCTTCATTCTGATTGGCCGATAAGATTACTTTGGTTCTGGTTTTACGACACCCAAAGTGACTGCGCTCTCACTAAGGGTATGATGTAATTAGAATGATCTGCTATGTAACATGTTATGAATAGGCCATTTTCGATATGTTAAAATTCAAACTTGGCTCTGAGGCTTAGGGGAATAAAACATAAGAAATTACATCAAGGTTAATGGATGAATAATTGTATAATTTTGTTTTATTCTCCCCAGCTTCGGAGCCGTGTTAGAATTTTAATATATGGAAAATGGCCTGTTTAGCACTAAACTTTCGTTTTTAATTAATAGTCAGTAGTCCTGATGTGGAGATGGAAGTTACTGATGAAGAGGAGAAAGTAAAAGATGCTCCACTGGTTTGTAAAATGTTTCGTGTTCATGCACACCTTACCTCAAGTATGGCATCAATTGAGCAATAACAATCTTTTATTTCTGCTCTCAAGTTATGCAAATAGTTGAAAGCATTCATAATATATGGAAAAAAGATGATAAATTGATCATTTCAATAAAAACATTTCAAGTAGGTAGAGCATAGTCACTTAGAAATAGCGAATACTAATCGAGTCAAGTGGCTGGGTCATGTGATAGAAAGAGTATCCAAACAAAAGGATAAGAAAGAGGAATGCACCTACTTTTAAGAGGCACAAGCACACAAACGTGCAAACGAACAAATGCAAATGGTTGCGCACACATTGACTTAAATCTAAAGTATACCAGTGTATAAATCGGTAACTGCAAGTAGTAGACTCCTTTGAAAGATTCTTTGCGCGCATGTGTAGTGTATTTACGAGTCTAACGACTTGCGTCTGCACGTATAAAATGCGTGTGAGCAGTAAGAGTATATCTGATCGGTGCTCCTCAATTTGAGATTTTCCTCTATAGAATCTCAGATTTTAGCACCATATGCCTGATAAATCCTATCTGATCTGTCGGTGAACATTTTAGTGTCGATTTTATTTTTTATTGCTACCATGCTAGATTAGATGATTAGATGAGAACTGTTTTTCGTTTCTCTTTTGAAGGATATTAGTCAGCTTTACCAAGTATTCCCTGACGAAATACTTGGTTCAGGACAGTTCGGAATTGTCTATGGAGGTATGCGTTTTAATGGGCAGTTTAGTTCTTTTGTATCAAAGACCCTGAGGGATTCATACGCTCAAAAGGCTGTCTTCTTCGTATTTTTAAAACCAATTTACGTCTAAAACAGATATATTAAGTCACCTATTTGTACATGCGAAGACTTGGTACTCAGACTCCCGATCACGGTCGCCACTTTGAATTTCGTCGAAAATTTCGACGAAATTTGATTTCGTAGAAAATGATGTGCAAGATTTTTTACCACGTCGAAACCCTGACATGTATCTTATCCTCTTGATCAAGAACCGTCTTCGAATAAACGGTGCTCCCTTTCAGAAGAATGTCGCATTACTTTAATCCTATGTAATGAAAAAATAACAATTTTGGTAGAACTCGATAAATTACACAAACCTTGGAAATCTTTATTTAGAAAGCGAGACGTTGGATTTCAAAACGGATTTCAAATGTCACAGCTTCGGCAAATTATTTGTCGTAGTTGTTGTAAGTGACTCAAGAAAATTGATTTTGAGAGAAATGCCGATCTCACGTTAACGCCCTTTCTTTGTGAAATTATTTCTGATTGAAAGCAGAATGTCGGACACGTGACTCTTGATTCATGCGCACATCTGACAGAATGCGTGACAGAATGCGTGACAGAATGCGTGACAGAACTTTAGGCAGGGTCGGTCGTAGTCGTAACATGCCTCTACGCTTCAATGGTTATTTATTTATTTATTTTTTTTTTGTTTGCAAAACTCGACAGGAGTTCATCGTGAAAGTGGACGAGATGTAGCCATCAAAGTCATTGACAAACAACGTTTTCCCACTAAACAAGAGGCGCAGTTGAAGAATGAAGTAGGAATTCTTCAGGTGTGTAATACGCTGCCTTTTTTAATCGTTTTTGTGCGTGTCCTTTTTAATGTTGTCTATTTTTCAATTATTTCGAAGGGGCTGGTATTAAAAAGATCACGCCCCATATAATTTTGGAGAGTATGGCCAGAAAAGTCGTTATTTAGCTTATCAAAAATATTTATTAATGAAGTTCCTTTTCGATTCAATTTATTGTCCCTAGCATGTCAACCACCCAGGTGTAGTGAATTTAGAAGAGATGTTTGAAACCCCCGAAAGGGTAAGTATAGCTAAAAATAGTGGATAGAATCAACATCAAGAAACGTCAGCTAATCAGAACTCAAAGTAAAAACAAGCAAACGACCCAAAGCGCAGGAAAACGACCCAAAAGCGCGGGAAAACGCAGGTGACCAAGTCGCGATTGGAGATAGTTTGCATATGATTGGTTGCGAGTGCATCATGAGTTTTTTCGACCAATCACAGTGCGAAGGAAAAACCAAACCTATCCTGGAGTTTTTTCGACACTCAAATTAAAACTGCTAGAATTATGACTCTGGTGGCCATAACTTTCTTTGGTTGCCGTTGTGGTTTCTCTCTATGAATTTGTCAAGTAGGACCTGATATGTATCTCAGTGTGACGGAAATAAGCATTATTTTACAAATTAGCGCCGTTTGGCGCATCAAAGCAGGCTTTTGATTCAAACAATCGATGGGATTAGCTTTGTCCGGCTTAAGAGGCGGTGTTTGTTTCCGTGTTGAAAATTTCCTTGAAACAGAATTATAATTTAGTTGGGAAGAAAAGAGCAAAGATTAAAAAAAGTACCGGCAAAAGGATCTTTGAGGATGTAGAGGATTCTCAAGGATTGCGCATGACAATCCCCCCAAAAACGTTAAAGACAATTTTTATAGACGCTTAAAGTGTGACTCATTTCTGTTAATGTTTACAATATTTTTAAGTTTGAGCATGTCTTTCAGGTGTTCGTAGTCATGGAAAAAATGCGAGGCGACATGTTGGAACTTATTTTGTCCAGTGCCAAGGGAAGATTGGATGAGAGATGCACAAAGTTCCTCATAACACAGGTGAAATTGGCTTCCTTTTTCTTAGAAAGGGCATGTGGAGTAATTTGCATTGGAAGCTACATTCTTACGACGTAGCTCTGTGCCTCGCTCGATGTGTTGCACGAAAATCTTACAAATGCCTAAAAAAATTCCTATGGACAACTTTACTGCTTTAGAGAAATAATAATACTTCTTCCTTAGATAGATTGTATATTTTTTGGTAAAAGGTATTCCATTGGCCAATGGCATCATTCCGATGGAATTACCACAGAAGCAGGACGTGAATGAGTCATGTTGTCTCGATTGTGCATCGTCGGTGATCTTTTTTTTTTTTTGCAGATTTTAGTGGCGCTTAGAGATTTACACAGCAGAAATATTGTTCACTGCGACTTAAAACCGGAGAATGTGTTGTTGTCGTCAATATCATCTGAATGTGGTTTCCCACAGGTGAGGTTCCGTCTGAGTTCAGTGTTGTTCTTTTGGAAATGACTATTGGGGCCTCGTTTTCGCTAAAAAATGGCAATAGTAAACCTTCAGACTCCTAACAGTGACTAGCGTCTAATTTCTCCTTACAATATCACCCCTGGATCAAACATTAAGGTCAGGAGAATAAAGGAAATGATCAGCAACGAAAGAAGCTCTGGATTGTTAAACAAATTCTCCTTGTCAGCACCACAGGAAATGTATAGAGAACAGTCTGGAGAATATGCGTACTGATGTTAGGGTGTGAAGGGAGAAGAGTAGGCAGCTTTGAAATGGGAAAACAAAAATTGTGAAATATTTGTAGATGACAAATGATTATTACCATTATTATTACTATTACTCCTGTTATCATTTTTTATTATTAATATCATCATTGTCATCATCATTATCGTCATTATTATTATTATTATCATTATCACAATTCAGAAGCTTTTCGGGCGAGGCCTGATTTCTGTTCTCTCAAACAGATCAAACTGTGCGACTTCGGTTTTGCTCGGATAATCGAAGAGAAATCGTTCCGTCGATCGGTGGTCGGGACTCCAGCCTAGCTCGCCCCCGAGGTCCTGCTGAATAAAGGATACAATAGATCGCTGGATATGTGGTCAGTCGGTGTCGTCGTTTATGTCAGGTAAGAATCAATAGACAGTATGCGTTTTGACGTCTTTCCCTTTTCTGAGATAACTCTTAGCCCATCATGAATTATAACATAACCAAAGTAAAGCGCGCGCTCTGATTGGTCAATTTAGCGTCCCCCATTTGCCCATGGGTGTACGCTGCTGACGTGAGCAAATGCAAAGACTATTTTTCCGCGCGCGCTTGTTTTTTCTGGTCACGTAAGATTTGTTAAATAAAAGGGAACTCTTTAGCTACAATCTATCAATGTTATGTTATAAAACAAATGGTAAACACCACAGCGTACACTATTGAGTTATGGATGCACTAGGGAGGTTTGCTAAGCACCCAAGAAGCTAGAGTCGCTCTCGACTATCGCCTCGAGCGACTCTTACGCTTCTTTCGTGCTTAGCAACCTCTCGCGTGCATCCATAACTCGATAGTGTATGCTGTGGTGTTTACCATTTGTTAAGTATACCAGTTATAACAAACAAAAACAGAACAAGATTCTGGTAAAACAAATTTCTTGTAAAATTCTGAAAGGAAGTGGCGAAATCGTAACTAATGTTAGACACCGTAGGAAATTTTGAATTACCTTGGTAAGTTTGCAGTAGCGTCAATGACAGCTACGGGAAAGATGTTCCTAAGTTGATATTTTATCGATTGAATTCCGTTCTGTTTCAGTCTTAGCGGCACTTTTCCGTTCAATGAAGAAGAGGATATTCAAGATCAAATTCACAACGCCGCTTTTATGTATCCACCAGATCCATGGCAGGAGATTTCACCTGAAGGTAAGTTTCAGACATTTCCTTTGTTACAAAAATTCCAGGCGTCAGAAGTTTGTTCAGTAATGGTTTTCTCATTATTCAGTATGAATCGCTCTTTTCTTCTCCAGCAATTGACCTTATAAACAACCTCTTACAAGTCAAACAAAGATGCCGTTACACATGTGATAAGTCGCTCATACATTCGTGGCTTCAGGTGAGTCACAATTTGCAACTACTGTTACAGTAGCAGCCTAGAAATAAGCGTTTGTACAGTGTACGTTTTGTATTTCAAACGGGGTATATTTGAAACAATTCCTAGAATCTTCTCTGAAATTCGTTTTTAATTGTTTGTTTTCTCCCATTTGAACATCCATCCCCCATTATTTAAAAGCTCTTATTGAATTTGACGCATGAGTTGATTTCACGACCAGTTTCAAATTACTGTCGAACAGTCTTCAATTTGTGACGCCCCATTCAGTAACTTTTTTATCTATCTCGTACCCAGGACCATCAGACCTGGTTAGACTTGAGGAGTCTGGAAGCAGCTGTCGGTGAACGCTACCTTACTCACGAAAGTGATGACGCCCGATGGGAGGCATACGCTGAACAGCTAAAAGCGCGCCAAAACAGGGAACCTTCGCGGGAGCCAGCTCGGCCGAGCAATAACAGATTTTTCCCTCCAATGTCACCAGCGGAACGCAAACTTCAAACAAGTATTAGTTTCCTGTGAAAAGCCGTGCTTACATTTTAAGATAATTATAAGATTCTTGTCATTAATTAATATTTTATTTGTCGGTTCTTATTCGTTAGGAAAACTGCGCCCACGTTTGAAAATCTTCCAAAGTTTTCAGCCTATTCCGGCGAAACACAGCTGTCAGGCGTCTGCGAGCGTTGTTTAATTAAGTGGCGTGCTTGAAGGCTGTCAGAACCACGTTGTTTCACACGAGTTACAAGCCAGTAAGTTACAATGTTTCAATCGTCGCAGCGGAAAGAAAACCCTCTGGATGTACGCTGTCCTTGCAGTGAATGGAATTTCTGTCGCTGGCATTCTGATTGTAACCCTCTATATTTTGTTACGAGCATTGACAGAAAGGAGTTTCATGCAAAACTCAAGCTTTCGAAAAACCCATCTTAAACAGAGCCTGAACAGCTCCAAGTATCAATTTAAACGTCTCAACTTTCTTTCGCTTACTCTGCGGTTGTTTCTTATCTTTTACAATTTTGCGCGGGAAGTAAGCGCGGGCGTCCAGATTTGATCCCCGCGCATGCTCTACGTCTGACTGCTGTGTTGTCCTGCGATGGCTTACTTTGGGAGTGCAAACGACCGGGAGGGGTGGGTGGGACACGAATTGTCATATTTTACCAAAATTTCCCTAAAAAAAATCCAATGCTGCAATTATGACCAGTAAATAACAGGCAGAATTCAATGCACACGTTTGCTTATATAGTGTATTTTATCGGTAATGATTAAAAAAAAAAACGACAACATTCCATGTCGTAAGTTATTTGTAAGTTGTTTGTTCTAAAATTTAGTACAAGGATTGTGTTGTCAATGAAGATGGTTTATGCTTAGCTGCTTAAAGGAATTGAAACGTAGTCACCGTTCATAGTATTTAAGACTATTTCAAAATTTCACTTTTGTATTTTGGTGTGGAAAAGTGGAATGTTTGCATATGTGCAATCTCGCTCCCAGTGCCCTCGTTATCTCTGTCCAGCGAATTGGCTGACGAAACAAACAAAATGTCACTGACAGAGTAGTTTGCTATTGAGCATCGAAAAAATAAAACCAATCAACAAAGATTAACTTTATCATTAACCAATGAGAACTCAAAAGACAGGAAAAGTGCTTGAAGCACGGGAAAACGCAGGTCACCATGTTAAGTCTTGCATTTGATTGGTTGAGAAGCTGACGCGAGTTTTCTAGACTAATCACAGAGCGAAGCGCGAAACCAAAGCAATCCTGTATAACTTTCGACACTCAATTGAATTTGTCTCTAAAACACACAATAGGATACAGATTTTTGTTCGGACTTCAATGAGCGGGCTCGACCACAGAATCTTACGATCCGAGCTGCTGACCGAATGGATCGCGGTCGCGGTGCTGGGAACGAGATTGGCATATCTATGAAACTGAGTTATCCCTGCGCGCGTAGTTGATTCACACTGTAAGGGTTGACCTGGAAAATTCCAAACTTATGATGCAATCCTAAATAAATCCGTTCAGTGTCTCTGATTGGGTAATACAATAACCAATCAGATACGCCACCTGGAACTCAAGCGTCATATCATCAGAATGGAATTCATGGGGTTAAACCTCGTTTCCAAACAGCAAAATTCTCTGCACGATAATAAGATGTGTACCTTATTTTCAGTAAGATAACTAAAGCTGCAAAGTTCTTATGGCTTTAACAAAACCGCGTAAGATAGCTTCAACACGAAACAGAAGACAGTGTACAGAGTAGCCGTTGAATTTAAAATGTGCAGAAGCTGAAGAAATTTTTTTAGAGAAAAATACCATTGTAAAATAAACTAATTTTCACTCACTATTTTGTGGATGTGATTGTTTCGCGTTATGGACGATGAAAAGTTCTGGCATGAGAAATTTGTCGTGGTTGGAATAACATTTGGCCACGTACTCGACGGAAAAATGTATGGAAAGACGGAAGGGTCGTCGTCCAGAATTTGTCGGTGTCTGCTCCCCCTTTTCTTTCCTTGATTGATTTGTACAATCTGAGTTGCTCTTTGCCCAGATTCTGGAGATAGAACTCTCCTATCACCACGATTTGCCATGAAAAATTTCGCATAAGTAACAACCTATCACCAGAAAACACCTTAGGCACTGTGTACACGGACGTAGTTTCATTTGTAACCGCATCGGTCTCAATGCGGTTACGCCTTTCGTTTACACGGCGCCGGTCGAGTTCGCTATCAGAACCGGGTCGTTCCAAAAACGCTTTCAAAAGTGGAGCGTTTTCAAAACGATGCGTTTTCATTGGTCGTGTAAACGAAAGACGTAACCGCATCGAAACCGATGCGGTTACAAATCAAACCGCGTCCGTGTAAACAGTGCCTTATTAGTAATCAGAAGGAAATTTAGAGCCCAGTTTCTAACGATTCTGCGCGGAAAAGTGATTGGCAGTAAGAATTAGAAAAGACAATGCAATATTCAAACTCTTAATGTATATTTCTGTTTCCACACAAATAATCATATTAAAAGAAAATCAATTCAAAAATGTGCTTTAAGCTAAGTATCTGGGGAAAAATTACCAAATCAATGACAACAAAAAAATACCGATTAGACAATTCTTTTCTCCCCTGTATATTACACGTAAGACCAATCGAGGTGTCACATAACTTATTTGTTGTCGCGAAATTTGAAAGATTGAAGTGGGTGCATTTTTTGTTGTTAATAGGCTATGAAACTCAAAGAAACTATGACACTTTTCGGTGCAGAGAGTTCTTAACAACTTTGCGTCGTGGTTAAGTAGAGTGTAGGTGCCACTATTTTTCATGCTTCGCATATAATTTTTTTTTCAAAACAATCCGAAAAAATGTTGATAGGAAAGTCTACTTTTGGGCGAAAATGATGAAAGAGTCGTTTCGCTCTGGCGTAAAAACAAACGCCAACTTGGAATAATTTCAAGTATAGGAGCAAAGCACAAAAACCTACTCCACGATTTTACGAGCGTAGTACGTCAAACCTTATGAATGGCCCTTAGGTATTATTTGTTTTGTACAGCATAGATGTTGGGTTCATCTTCGCACAATCTCTGCCTTGACGGTGAGTGCGGAATACACAAGGAACATTTCTCCTCTCCTAAACGCTTTTTCAACATCAGAATCAGCAGGGGCCCGGCAATTAGAAGAGACACGAACACGGTGAACACGATAAAACCAACTGTCGCTGAAAGAAATGAAACAAAACAAAATATTTTAAGAGCTTTGTGAGCGAAATTATATTCTACTCTCTTGCTCAGCTCTTATAACGAGGGCCGCAATACAATAACAGTCAGTGCACTGGACTCCAGGTCGAGAGAACTGGGTTCGAACCTCGATTAAGCCACTGTGCTTTACTCCCACAATGCCTCTCTCCACCAAGGACTGTAAAGGGGTATAAAATAGGAATGACAGGTTTCGGTAAAGCGCCACCGAGGTGAATTTAGTCGTTGTCGTCGTATTTAGCCTTAAAAAGTAAAACGAGGAAAACAAATTTAAAAAACAAACAAACAAACAAACAAAGACAAAACTGGAAACTAAATCAAATTACTACCTACCTGAAGAACATGACGATTGACCTGGTTTTGAGGTAAAAAACTCGTTCTTACACTTGGTGCACGATGATGACCTGAAACAAGTCGATATATCTGTTGATTCTGAAAGTACCACGAAGAAACTTTCAAATTTCAACTAATGCACAAAAGAAAAACTTGAAAATATCTCTGGAAATAATGCATTTTTACGCTAATCTTGTGCAAATAAAGCAAAATTTTACAAGAATGAATGTGCACTTGACCTAAATTTGAATGTAAGAGGTTTTGGGACTAGGAATTGGTCCATCGGATTGTCGTTCGCTGGAATGTCAACCTGAGATGTTGCAAACTTTTTCATCGCTTCCTTAAGCGAACCATATTCCTTGAAACTAATTGATGGTGTATGCTACAGGCACGAAAGTTTTACTAATAGAAAACCAGCGTACAGAGATCTCCGAGGTTGTAACTAAGGAGGACACATCTTCACAAATACCCGCTTTCAGAAAAATGGAATTTTATCAACCACAACATAAAAGAAACAATGTAAAATTAATACACGAACCCTGTCTTTGACGCGAAAGTATCCTTCGCACAACGCGTGCACTGTTTACTTCTTTTCTTTGAATTGTAAGTTCCAGCTGGGCAGCTGCTCGATCACAAACAACACCAGTTAAACCTAGTACTTCAATTTGTTCGGTGGAATTTTCTCTGTCTAATGGTTATGAGAGGAATGAACACCAAGACGTCTGTTGACAACCCACATAGAGCACACATACCCCAGTAAACCCCACCCTGTGATAAGCTCCCCTCTCTATTCATCACCTTTCTCGAATAATATTCCTTTCTTAAAAGCCCTAATCTTGAATTAGTACCCCCGGCCCCATCCTATCTAACCGCTTAGAGCACCAGGTTGTGTTGTGCGGGAGGTCAAGGGTTCGAGCCCCAACCCGACCAATACTCATGGTCTTAAAATAACTGAGGAGAATTTGCTACCTTTCTATAATATCAAGAAATGGATAGATATTCTAGTCTTCTCGGATAAGGACGAATAAACCGTAGGCCCCGTCTCCTGCAGGGTTAGGGGTAGGAGACGTTAATTTCCCACGCACGAGATTACTGTGTGGTGGATGTCCTCCCCTGGGGTGGGATGGGTGGGTGTTGCTCGGCATATTAGCATGTATTGCTAGGGGCCTGAATGTAGTGTATAGGATGCCAACGAGCATGT